ACCTTGGAATGGGAACTTGCTTCTTCACTTCAACATTCTGCCTCTGCCTCTTTCACCCAGCAGTCAAGCGCGCCCGCTATAGCCATAGCCATATCCATATCCATATCCATATCCATAGCCAGAGCCAGAGCCATAGCCAGTCATGGAGGGGAGTCAGGAGACCATCGACGACTACTATTAGTAGCGCGAGGCTCACAGACACAACGACGGGATAGGAATACGAGCAATCAGCATCCTGATGAGGAGGGAGATTGCCGACATTTAATAAATAAATAAATAAAAATCCCCACACGGTTCCCTTCCGGTGGTCTATTCTCTCCTACAAAAAACGTTTGGCAGCACCTCTCTCTCTCTCTCTCTCTCTCTCTCTCTCTCTCTCTCTCTCTCTCTGTGTGTGTGTGTGTGTGTGTGTGTGTGTGTGTGTGTGTGTATGTGCGATACAGGACGTCTCTCTCTGGGCAATTACAATTCGAGGGTGAGGTCCCACTAGCAAAAAGGGATTGGATCGAGAGTCTGAATCTGGATGTCTTTTATGAAGAGATGCAGAACAGCAGTTCGATAGTGATTTTCTGCATCTATCCACAAACGCGTCCAGATTCAGGCGTTAAATCCAATCCTCTTTGCTAGTGGGACCTTGCCTCGGATGACTTTACACCATCGGGATTGTGTCAGAATTGTCATTAGCGGATAAAATGCCATTTGGCATTTGCCAGATATTAAATTTTTTAAAACAAAAAATATGGGTTACCAGGGGCACCCCAGCGGGCGTCTGTGTAGGTCAGCCGGCCATCAGGCCCCCAAGCATGTAAAAACTCCAGGATTTATTTATTTATTTTAATTATTTATTTATTTACGTATTTAAATAGTGATGCATCTGGCCCCACTCCCCATGGTGGCATGCACTCCTATTTCCGGGATTTCCAGAGTGGTGCGGCGAAGCTCATTATCTTCACGTGGCAAAGATATTATATTCACACAAGAAAGAGATTATCTTCGCCCACCCAAGGAGAGGGCAAGGGTAATGTCTTGGATTTTGATGATCTGACTTGTCACAGTGATAATGAAGACAATCGAGTTGGTCCGTCCAATGGACGGGTCATAAAGGACAATTGGATAGAGAGAAATTACGCAGGGAAAGAGGAGGGGGGGGGAAGAGAAGGGGGGGACAAGGGAGGACGGAGAAAGAGAGGCAAGAGAGGACAGAAGGATGAGAGAGGGAGGTGAAGGGCAGAAATACAAAGAGGGAGGAGAGGAAGGGAGAGAGACAACAGGAAGAGAGATGGAGCGTGGGGAGAGAGGAGGAGTGGAGAAAGGTAGGATAGAGGAGTGGAGAAAGGAGGGAGAAGACATTTTGTTTTGCCTGGGCAGGGTACTGGTGGCAGGGAAAGAGACAGTAAAAAAGACCAGTAAAACAACAGTAAAAAAGACGAGTAAAACAACAGTGAAAAAGACCAGTAAAACAACAGTAAAAAAGACCAGTAAAACAACACTAAAAAAGGGCAGTAAAAGAGCAGTGAAAGGGCAGTAAAAGAGCAGTGAAGTGAAAGAGAAGCGAAAGAGCAGTGAAAGCTTGGGGCCCGCACCCTTGGCGCGGTGAAAGAGCAGTGAAAGCCACAGTTAAAAAGACCAGTATAACAACAGTGAAAGAGAAGTAAAACCACCGACCCATGCGACATGAATGTGGTTTACTTTGACTTCGAAAAAAAAAAGACCCTACCTCAGTTGGCAACTTGGTACACAGTAAGTACTACACATTGTACACAACCATCAACTGTTGAAATAAAGACCCAACTTCAAATCTTGATGAACCGACTCAACCGAGACGTATGCAATGAACTCATTTCTGAATTTCAAATGGCGCAGGTCAACGCAATGACGATATCTCAAGGCTGTCGCCATTGGAAATCTTTAAAAAAAAAAAAAAAAAAAAAAAAAAAAGCAGCAGTGAAAGCCCTGGCTCTGCACCCGGCCTCTGTCTCGGGATTCATATGCTGAGTGGCTGGGTACTGCATGTAGGTTTCTGGACCAACATGGGCCTCCCATCAGAAAAAAAGGCATGCCTTTGGGGTTCCAGGGCAAACCAACATGGGCCTCCCATTAGACAAAAAGGCATGCCTTTTGGGGTTCCAGGGAAAACCAACATGGGCCTCCCATTAGAAGAAAATGGCATGGCTTCGGGGTTCTTCGGGGTTCCAGGGCCCCCCATGCAGCCCCTCTCCGCTACAGCACCTACTACTGTAGAAGTGCTGCTGGGGATAGGCCTGTCTATTCTGCTTGTCTGCTTCTTGAATTGGTGTCTATGCTAGCCGGTGATAAGCAACTGGGCTGTTGACCCCCCGGACAGAGGGGGCTTATACCCCTCCCCCCCCCCCCCCCCCCCCCCCCCCCCCCCCCCCCCCCAAAAAAAAAAAAAAAAAAAAAAAAAAAAAAAAAAAAAAAAAAAAAAAAAAAAAAAAAAAAAAAAAAAAAAAAAAAAAAAAAAAAAAAGAGAAAACGAAGGGAAAATTGCATCTGTACCCTACTGAAAGATGGGAATAACGGCTATACCCAGTCCCCGCAGCGCCAAATTGCGTCTATACCCAGGAAACTACCCGTGGAAATTATTAACATGCCTAGGATTGAGGTGGACCCAGGTTGATACCGCAAAATTGCAGTTTTATAACCAACAAGTACAAGAATGCACAAATTATGGGCATACGGGGGACCTGAGGAGGAGAGGCCAAATTGCTCATATACCCTGCTGCTAGGGGATGGCTAAAATTATGCTCATACCCAGGGGCAGGCGTTGGGCCACAACGGTCTACTTGGTGGGCATGAGCATAATTTCGTGCTCCTAATTTTATAGGGACTGCAGGGTTGGGTACAGGGGGAAAAGGCGGGTACTATGCAAAGTTGAAAGGCCTCTTGGGTATAGATTCAAGTTGGCGCTGGGGCTGGGGCTGGGGCTGGGTATAGCCGGTATTCACATCTTTAAGTGGGGTACAGATGCAATTTCCAACCCCAAAAAGAAGGAGCAGTAGTGAAAGAGCAGTGAAAGAACAGCAATGTCAAGGAAGCAGGAGGACAAAGAAGGAAAGCGCACGTGCGCACGTGGGCACACACACAAAAAAGAAATGACGAAAAGGAAAATACCAAAAAGAAGAAGAAGAGGAAGAAGGACAGGAAGGAGGAGGAGGAGGCGGAGGAGGAGGAGGAGAGTAAAAACGGATAAGAAAACGAAAAGGACAGAACTGAAACGAAAAAACATATTGGGAAACGGATAAGAACGTGGGTAAAAACGTGGGTAAAAGCGTGGGTATAAGGAAATGGATAAGGTACAAACGTGGGTAAAAACGTGGGGGTAAAAACGTGGGTAAAAACGTGGGTAAAAAACGTGGGTATACGGAAATGGATAAGGTAAAAACGTGGGTAAAAACGTGGGTAAAAACGTGGTAAAAACGTGGGTAAAAACGTGGGTAAAAACGTGGGTAAAATCGTGGGTAAAAACGTGGGTATAAGGAAATGGATAAGGAAATAAGGACATGGAAAAGGAAATGTGGGAAAAGGAAAGAGGATAAACCAAAAAAAAAAAAAAAAAAAAAAAAAAAAAAAAAAAAAAAAAAAAAAAAAAAAAAAAAAAAAAAAAAAAAAAAAAAAAAAAAAAAAAANAAAAAAAAAAAAAAAAAAAAAAAAAAAAAAAAGCAGTAAAAAAAAAAAAAAAGATAAGCAAATAGATAGGCAAAAGAGGATAACCAACCAAAAATGCAGGCAGAAATGTGGTAAAAGAAACCCATTATTAATTTATTAGGAATTAGAAAAAAGACATGATGAAGAGAAGAGAAGAAATAGATAAGGAACCGGATAAGGAAATAATCAAATAAACGATGAGCATAGCTTTCTCGGCCTTTTTTTTTTTTTTTTTTTTTGTATGGAACATTTCTCGATTTATATTTATGCGAGTCATCCTTGCGGAGGGGCCATTTTGTTAATTACCCTTCTCTGTATCGTTCCAAACTCGACGGATGTTCCGAAAGGACTTTTCTTTGTAGGCCTTTTGTCCACGATCAATAGTAGTATATCTCCTCTGATCAGTTTAATAATTAAGTTAAATATATATATCGTCACAAACAGATATATATATTTTTAAATCAAATTAAATATCTAACCCGTGGTCCATCGGGGGCATAGAAACAAAAAAAAAAAAAAAAAAAAAAAAAAAAAGGAAATAGATGAGCAAAAGGATAAGGAATGCTCAATTATCAGCCACAGGCAAAAGTTGCCCACTACACGGGCAGAACCTCACAGGAATATCTGACGCGCGGAGAGAGAGAGAGAGAGAGAGAGAGAGAGAGAGAGGAGGAGGAGAGAGGAGGAGAGAGAGAGAGGTAGGTAGGTTACGAGTAAAATTCAGCCAGCCGTACGTTGCACCAAGCACCAGACGTAAAGAAAGAACGTCCTTCGCTCCTCTATAACTAGATACATCCCCTTTTTCCCCCTTCTCCCTTCTCCCTTCCCCCTTACTCCCCTACTTCCTTCCTCCCTTCTCCTTCTTCCCTTCTCCTTTCTCCCTTACCTCCCTTCCCCTTTCTCGCTTTGTGTTCCCCCAAAGAACGTCTGACTCCTCTTCCCCCATCCTAGCTTCCCTCCTCCCTCTTCCGTCCTCTCCGCGAGCTTTCCGTCCCCGTCCCTCTCCTCAACACGTGTCTGTGCTCCGTGCCTCCCTCACTCACTCCTCTTCCTCTCTCTCCTCTCTTCCTACTCGTCCTCTCTCACTCTTCCTCTCTCCTCTTCTTCTCTCCATCTCCACATTCTTCCTTCTCTCTTCCTCCTCTCTCCCCTCTCTTCCTCTCCCTCCTCCTCACTCTCTACTCCTCTCTTCCTTGCCTATTCTACTCAACCCTCCTGTTTTGCTCCTCTGATGCTATCTACGCCTCTCTTTCCCTTCTCCCTCCTCTCTTCCCCACCTCTCTTCCACCTCTCTCTTCCTCTTTTCCACCTTTCTCTTCCACCTCTCCCTTCCACCTCTCTTCCTCTCTCGCTTCTTCTTCCCTTTCCTCTTGGACGTCAACTGCACTCGACATCTCCTTCTCCTTCTTCTCCTTGTCCTCCTTATACCTCCCCCCCCCCCCCCCCCCCCCCCCCCCCCCCCCCCCCCCCCTCGCCCTCCCCCACCCTCTCCCCCTCCCGCACCCCTTTCCAGCCTCCTT